AGTAGAGAGAGATGTCAAGCTACTTTTATCATTGTCTTTCTCTTCTTCTATAGAAAAGAGGAAAAATACAATCTCATCATCTGTCACTATTTTCTTTCTCATATTATCATCATCAATTGTAATATAGTCTGTAACAGATAATAAGGAATTGACTGATAGACTGTCAATCAATCTCTGAATAGATAATTGTTATTCAGATGTAATATTAGTTATTATATTATTTGTTTTTTTGATTTTTTCATCAATTAACTCACTATCTTTAAAAAAAATAATGCCAGTTTTCTTTTAATAATTAGTAATTGTCATTGGAGTAATATTATCTCATGCTTTAGCAATAAAATCTATTACTTTCTTAATATTAATAGATCTTGACTCATTATTAGTAATTTGTTATTTATCAAAAGCTTTTATCTTTTTTTTGAGTAGTAGTTTCTGATAATGAGCCTGTACACTATAAATTATTTAAGAATATAATCTATGATAATTAATATTTTACTTGTGTTAGTATATAAATCTTAAAACTATGGATTATTCCTACATCTAATAGTTGTAAGTATGATATTATATTTGGTGATAGATAATGGATTATCACATTTATTAAGTCAAGACTATTCAGTAAATTATATGTTGGCACATTATTAACTAATAATAATATATTTTGATTTGCCCTATGCATTTTATTATCTAATTTTTTTAAGTAATTATTCTATATGGAAATTTGCATTCACACTTTATTATTTTAGTAATAATCTATTGATAATGAACTTTTACTAATTCTATTTAATGGATGTGAATTTTGATATTTATAAATAAATAATGGAATTAGTTTTTCAGTGCCAGTTGTATTACATATTAATAAGATGGTAATTCTCTCTTTACTTTGTTTTGTTTCTAATAAAGATCTAGTTGATAATTTATATATAAGCTCTATCTTCTAATACAGATTCATTTCATTATAATTAAAAATATCATCTGATTGATATTATTTAATAATGGTCTTCAAGTTTTCTCTCATTTCTGAAATCTCTTTGACTGGTGCACTTAGAGACTCATTATATTTATTAAATATACTAATAGAATACCTCTTTTTAAACTTCTCAAGCCAATCAGATAATGCTTTAAAATCTGTTACTTCTAATAACTCTGCAAATTTTAAAGATTTTTATTGAATGAGAGAGCCTGTAATTATTAAATTATATTCAAGTGCTTTTTCGATCCAAATAATTAGTGTTTCTTCAACTTTTGACAAATTCGAGAAACATACTTTTTTCAATTTCACTTGGTATAAATTCAAATCAATTGCAAGCTATTTGGCAGAATTTTTCAAAATATCTGTGACTTGATCTGGACTAATTTTAAACTGTTTTGCAAGGTCAACATTTTTTGATTCTGGCATATTTTTCTTTAGCAAGTAAATTTCATGCTTTTATAATGCTGAAATAATATTACGTTATTTAATTTGCTAAGATATTTTATTGATTAATTGTTAAAGTATATCAAAAGACAAATTAAAAATATGGACTCAACATTGTTTATATAGTAATTTATGAATGATAAATTATTTCTCTGATTATATTTATATCTTAACATTAATTATATAATCAGAAATTGTATAATTGAGTGAATATAATAATAATTACTGAATTTAAAAATACTACACATAGATATGAAATATGATGATTAATATTATATAATCAAAAATATTGATACACAAAATAATAGCTAAAATTATATGATTAATATCAGATATAATAACTTTGATCATATGATCAAAAATCATATAACACAAAATCATATAACATAAAAATTATATAATTATCATTAGATATAGCTAATTATTATTCAATATATATTATGTGATTCAGTATAAAGCAATTAGTAATATATGTAAAAATCCTGTATCAAATTTCAGTAATGGTATAACAAGGTTTTTATTATTAAATTCATTATAATGAGAGAATTTTACTATTTTAAAAATGGGAGAAACCAGAATATCTTTAGTATAGTGAAAATTTGGTATAATAAGATTTGATATAATGAGATTCAACTATATATAATAGAATCTGCTATCCTAACTAAAATAAATAATAGTTTGAATTAAATTATTTGAAAAATATAATTAAAAAACTTATTATCATAATGATAATAATCTTTTTAAAAGATTTCTTTTTTAATTATACTAGTACTCTTTCTCTCATTTAGTTTTATTTCTTTGATTATACAAAGTTAATTTTAATTTGAATTATAACATTATATTGATTTTTGATTTTTAATATTATTTTGAGAATAGAAGATCTCTGCTATAAATAAGCTATACTTTTATTTTATTTGTTTTATTATTTTTGAGAATAAAAGTTTTCTATTATAGATAAGTCATACTCTTTTTGATTAATTATTTTGTTATTTACTTTAGTTTTTATCTTTTATTTAATTATAATCTTCTTTAATTAATAATAATTTTACTATTCAATTATTTTAAGTCTTGAATTATATTAATTATTAGTAATTTTACTAACTGATCTTTATGGAGAAAATTTTATTATATTAGTTTTTAGATAATTACATAAAAAAAGTTTTTATACTTTGCTCTTTTCAAAACAGCAAAAATTCACCAGTATTCAGGAGAAAAAAAATGACTATAAATAATTGATATGATTAATATCTGTTCATTTTTTATTCACGTGTAGAGCTTGTGTTTAATGTTGATTGGTGGGATTATTTGTTCGTTGGCTCTCATATGGTTAAGTATTACACAAGTAATGATCAATAATTTGAATAGTGCATTATTTATGTGGATCACTGTATTCCCGTTACGTTCCATTGTGACGATTCATAATAAAGATGATTAGTGTTTATGTTGTTATTCTTTGTCTGACTCAACTCTTGATATTGATATATATAAAAAATTACTTATATAAGAAACTCTTGAGATAAGAAAGATTTTACAGATCCCAATTAAAAAATTTATAATAAAAAACTTTTTTATTTAAGAGACTCTCGATATAAGAAAGAATTTGGTTAGATTCGGTAACTTTCTTATATTAAAAGTCACTTGTATATACGCATATTGACCTCTCTGTCCATAATCATAAAAGGATTCTTTCTTTTTCTAAATAAGATGGATGAAGAAATAAAATGAATAGCTTATAGTTTAATATGCATCTGCCGAATTTACAAAAAGACTATGTTTTTAATGGTCAAAGAGTGATTATACTAGTTCTTTAAAACAGTAAAATAATATTAGATAGAAGTGATGAAAATTTTGTCTTTACTTCTTTTGTCAAGCCTAATTAAATTAAGAGGTTATCATTAAATAATTAAAAAAATAACAACGATATGGTAACCGCAGCAATAATAAAAATACTTTCATAGCAAACTACCACGAGTCTCTTATCGACTAAATCATCAAACACAATCATCCGAGAAAAAGCACATACGGTAGGCCACCTAACGTCTGTAGAATCAAAAGGATCGGAAGCAAGCTGCAATTATCAAATCAAATAATCCAGAAACATCTACAGCTGGAGAATCAATACCAGAAATATTTGTAACTCTGAGATCAAAAGAATTGGAAATACCACCAAATAATCCACAACTTTGAAGTAATGTGAGAAGTATCTGAAAATTCATTCTCTCCTCATGCTAAATAGCCAGAGATTATGGCAAAATTGGACATATTTCAAATACACAAATTTCCCAAATTTTGGCTAATAAATGAAAAATGAATAGGAAGAAGTAAAGTTTTATTGGCAAAAACAAATGGATAAGATGAAAACGAGGCATCCATGAGCCAATCCTGATTACGTGTATCACCCGGAAAAATCCCCTTTTAAAAAAGAAACCAAAAAAGAAAATTGAATACTTTGAATAACACACACAAAGAAAAAACATATATCAACGAGAATTCACTCCTTCATCGCATTTCTCATCAACATCAAATAACAATAGTTTGATTTGAAGATTAACAATTGATTGAAATGAAAAAGCATCAATATTGGCATTTTTACAATATATTAATAATAATCATGATTTTTCATAAAATTGGCATTTACAAGATGTGAATACTTTGTACATGTATAACAACAAAATTTACAAATATAATTTTCATTATTACACTTATTACAATAATTCTACAATTCATGATCAAGAGATATAATAAGCAACTTTTCATACGTTATGTATAAACCTTTTGGCGATTGGTTGTTTCGAAACTCCTTTCATCAAAACTTATGCGCGTAAACACATGAAAATGCTTATAAGATTTGTAAATACATAAGAATCATATCTTTGGAGATTTTATCGTTCTGCTGATAAAGATATATGTATTCCAGATCCACCATCTCCAGAAGAATGAAATTTTGAAGTTCAGGAAACTTCTGGAATTTTAACAAAATTTCCAGAACAAACTCTGATATCAACCAGGCAAAACTTTGAAAACTGATTTTTTGTACCAAAATTGATGAAATACACCATTTAATTCTTCTTGACTAGAGAAATCAAATAATGAATATTTTTCATTCAATTTGATCTGAAGAATTATAAAGATATCATGTTTTAAAGTTTTTGTTTAATTATATATTTATTAAAATTAAATTATTTAAAAATGACACAATTACTTGGAAATTAAATGTATTATAATGAAAATTTAGCCACTAGTTTATCATATTTTAGAAAAGGTAAGTCTTTGTTTATTTAGCTTAGTAATTAAGAAATATTTTTATTTTATCTTTAAATAAAAAGAAAGAATTCATTTAATATATGATTTCTCAATATTTAATGTTGTTATTCAAAATCTCATGTTTAAAGAAATCAAATTAATTTTTTGTAGCAGTTTTACAACTCGCACTTGATATACGCAAGAAAGGTTATTGGTCCAACAAAAAATTTATCTTTCTTATATCAAAGTATTGAATCACTCAAAAATTAATTAAATTAATTATATGAGATGGCACCAAGAAAGGAATGTAAATAAACATTAAAATATCCTAATTCCTTAAAGATCAAAGATACAAATTTGTCTCACTTTCCTCCACATCCACCGCCACAATTGTTATCAAAAGCTCCGAGACTCCCACATCCAACTCCGCTACAAGTATAAGTGATAGCAGCGTTCTATAAGATTCTCGATATTTTTTGTACCAAGCCTGACTCGTTTTCGTAAACCCGTCCGTCAACGTTTTCTCTGCCAATGTATCATCATGATTGATCACTCGTCCCATATGTTTAATAGTAAAATTTCGATAGAGCAGCGGATGAAGTATGTGCGTATGCCATGCAAGATCAATATCGAGGGTCGGAACAAATAGAGATCCCATGTAATCCTTTTGTAAGTTTATATACTGTATTTATGATAATGTTCGACTGAATTGGATTGAACAGTCATGCAATTAATCTAAGAATTATTGACCATTTTATTTGTAAAGTCTCGCTGACGTTTAACTGCACTGCAAGATCGATAGAAAACGGTGCCGGAGTATCCATATATGCGAAAATTATTCGTTTAATTATCCCCATTTCGTACGTCTTTCATTTTTACGACTGCTTTCGGCTATCTGTATGCTTTTGACTTCTGTATTTATTCGCATAGACCGTAGATAAGGATATGGTAATTCCTGGGTTAGAAAAGAACAGATTGCAATCTTTCTCTGCATTAGATTTATTGACAATGCTGTTTTTCAAATCAACAATCGTACCCCTTTTTGAATAAGAAAATATTTTAAATATTGAAATTTAATGTAATTAAACTTCATAATAATGAATTTACCCTATTATTTTCTTAGGGTCATTTCTGTACGTGAGAATATCTTCTACGAATCGAGAGACGCTCACAACTCACTTTTACATGTATATTGTTTGCTGCAATGGTTACATTTTACATCATAATTATTTGTGCGCATGATTTTTACATAAATATTTCTAAACTTATTTTTAAGATTTTAGTGCAAAATTATTAGTCAGCATATAGAAGAATAGACATTAAACTCACGGTGAAATTTGATCTATTTGGTTGCATAGGGACACTTAAAATCAAACGGTGAATAATCATTTAATTCAAAGAACCCAAGGTTTCTTTGTGTATTCATGCCAAATCTGTTGTGAATATTCTTCAAGATGCCCTGAATTTTGTCCCCAAATTTCATGCTATGAAAGGAATTTAATTAATACTCTTAAAAATTTCAAATAGAATTTAAGGGCATTAAGAAATACTTGCCAATTTGGCTAACGGGAAATTATAATTGTGTGCCTGAGGATCATGAAGACGTAGCATATCTTCGTAATAACGTAATGGCGAAAGATAATGAGCATGACATATTAAGCAAGCATCTTTGATTGTTTCGTAAAAATGTAAAAAAAAATTAAGATTTAAAAAAAGGTGATTTTATCAAAAAATAAATTTTTTTTAGTCGTACACATGCATAACCCCCTAAATACCAAGTGGCGGAATGGGCATTTCTTCTTTAGGAAAACTTTTATGATTCAATAAATTTATCCATGCAATACATCGTTGCTCGGCTCGCAATAAATAACGGTCATTCATCTCTTGATCAAATTGTACTAATTCTTTGAATTTCGTTAGCAAAATTAAATGCGCATGTAAAATTCAGGGTTTTACCACTCTATCAATATCTAGTGTTGCTTTTTGAGAAAATTGCGATTGTCATCGTTGTTTTTTATCATCATTATAAGAAGGAAGGTTAGATCTTTTTTCTCGAATTCAATGGTAGCAGACAACTGATCTAACATTTTTGAAGACGCTATTTATCAATTATGCTGTATTTTGATTTACAATGCTGGTAAATTTACCTGATCACGTCGGAAGGATCACGGGAATAGATCGCAATTAGGCAAAACAGTTATGCATTGAAATTTTACATACCGTATACATGTATTCGCGAGTAACACCCATGCGCGTTATTTCGAATCACGGCCTGCATTGAGCCCAACTCAGGCCGAAATTCGAAATTACGCCTGCATGTTGTTTCGCGAGTATACGTTAAGAATTGACTACAGGAAGCTCCTTATTTTCAGGGTTCTTGAAATTATCATTTTCATCTTCGCACATATAACAACCTATTATGTACTATTTGTTTTCGCAAAACTGCTTTTTTATAATGACAGCGTGCGATAAGAGCCAAAGATCGTCAATATTCTTATGCTTGTCATTTCTCGTCTAAATGAATTTTCTGATTTAATTTATTATCCTTACATATAGATTATATATATACATATAAACTGTATGTGATTGAAATCAGAAAGCTCAGATTAATAAAAATATAAAAAAGTATCATCGTACTAAAATTGGGTTATTGACCGTTTTTCTTATTGAAAACAGAAAATAGTCCGCGATATGGTTTCTCTACCTCCTAAAAATGGTAGTTCTAGAGAAAATAAAGCGCAGCACAACAGTGAAAGAATGTAGACTGAATAACTTACGAAAAGAGGGGTTCCCTAAGCGTTCCTGTTGTAACTTTTCCGAAAACTATTATCTGGAACAATCAAAAGCAGTCAGTTCGAAGGGTTTTGGATAGAGTCTACTTGTTATCGGTAAGGTGATAAATCAAAGATAAATACGAGTAGTTTCTGCTCACTACCAACAATAACATTATTTAATGCCACCAAAACAAAATATATAAATCAAGCATGACTTATTTAGAGTGAAATTCTTCCACTATCAACTTACGTTAAGCACAAAGAATAAAAGCTACTTGTACGCAAGTTTTAAATATAAGAGTAACAGTATATTCACAAGTAAAGGAATTATCACAAGTAAGAACTTCTCGATTTTTTATTTTTATTTGCGTCTGTTCTGTTTGAAGGGCAAGAATTGCCTTTATAAATGATGGAATTTTTACTGCCAATTATTACAGTAAGTTTCTATAACATTTACTGTGTTTTGTATGAATTTTAATTTAATATTAAAAAAATATTTTTCAAGTCGTATAGTAACATGCTTTACTATTATCCGGTGTTGGTTTCGACTTTTAGCTTTATAACGAAATGTTTCTTTAGATATTAATAAACATTAGAAAGACATTTGACAATAAAAGAGATATAAAAGAAACAAACAAATTTAAAAAACCTCGATATCAAATATTAGATATTAATTGTTTCGATAATTCTTGTATCAAAAGGAGCAATATATATTTATAAATTTGTTATTCGCATTGAAATTGACAAGAAATTTATCAAAATTAAGCAAACGTTTTTCTTTATCTTTTTTTGTTACAATGCTAGTCATTGAATATCTATCATTGATGAAATCCAACATATCGATATCGATATTAAAATTAATATCAATCAGCTTGATTTTTTTTACGATCACAATAAAAAAAATCTCATATTAAAACAAAAAATTCAAAAATACGCGCATAAAACAATCAAGACAATAATAACAATAACAAACATTCGTTTCTTATAAAATGTGCACGTATCCGACTTCTATCTTGACAAAATTGCATGTAAAGTCAAGAAATTTTCGGAGCAAACGATCTACAACGCAAAGTTCAGCGACTGCATTCGAGCAAAAATACTACTATTTATCATTTTAAAGAATTTATAAATTCAATTAGAGTATATTTTATAAATTTGAAAAGTAGCGAAGAATATTTTGTTAAAATAAAATAATTGAAATTATTTTTGCAAAATTTGAAATACTTCATAATCATCAACAATAAAAGAAATTCTTGAACTATCAGAACTTAACAGACCATGTTTTGTTGAAAGTAATTACTATCACGTGAATCGAATAATCTTAAGTCACTTCCACTCCAAAGCATGGCCCATACACTTTATTACAACGAATATTACGATTGGCTTGACTAAATTTACTTATAAATTCTCAACGGATTCATTCAAGTCAAATTAAATAAAAAGCTATTTTGTGTCTCATACCACTATCCCACCTCTTGAATTCTATTCCAATGGATTCTATCCACCAACTATTTTTCCTGAATATTCGGAATTACTGTTGGATCCATTTTATCACAAAATCGATGAAAATCAGCTGCAGCTAATCCATCTCGACAACCTCGTAATAATAGCTTTAATTCAAATGACTGAGTTGGTTTCGTATCCTGCGAATCAATCCATCCGCTTATTTTATTAATTTGATGTTTTTTAACTTGATTTCTTCGCTTCCTAGAACCAAATAATGATACAATAAACCCTTGTATAACTTTGGTAATAAGAGTTACGAATACGGCATTAATTTATCGTAAAAACCAACAGAATTTATAATTTATATGGAAGAAATGAATCAAAGGTAAACATTTTTTGAGCGCAAATTTCAATTTTCTAAATAATTTCTCCACGAGACTCGTAAAATCAAAATTCTCAGAATTGAAATGTTGAGCAGTCCCCACATTCAAGAACCTTCTCCCAAATAACAATTTTTTGAAGATTCAAAGCTTCCCGCTTGAGCAAAGAAACTAACGCGTTTCTTGAAGTTTATGCATTCCACTTAATACCATAAGGAAGTACAGTCGCACCTCTCTATAACTATATAAGAACAAATTACTTATAAGAAACAATTTTTTTCAAAAACAAGCTTAAAATAAAAGTATTTTGAAATTTCCCTCTCAATAAGAACATAATATAGATTTTTATAAGAACCAAGTTTTTTTTGTTCCCGACCATGTTCTTATTGTTATAGAGAAGTGTTACTGTATTCCGTAAATTTCTTAATTGTTATATCTGCTTGTTTGGTAAGACCAAAAGCTGCAATTAAAGTTTCAATGTGTTCCAGAGTGAAAATCAGTCACTATCCACAACATTCCTTTTCGTAATTTTCTTATAGCATAGATAACATACAGTAAATATCTTAATTTTTTTCAAAATTAATACGTCGTAGTTGGAATTAATATTTGCAAATGTCAATTTCGTTGGAACTAATATATTTTTCAACGTAAATTACATTTTTCTTTTTTGTTTGCGTTTCCATCTTATCAAAGTTCTTTAAATTTTTCTCTTTCTAATTTAAGATACCCATAAATTTCTTCATCCGTTTGAGGATATTCTAAAGAGCTTAGAAATGAAAATGTAAAGAATTTAGTTTCTAATAATCGATATTTACATTATCAGAATAGATATAAATAGAAGAACATAGTCAAAAATTTCCTCGACATTTGAACTATTTTCTGGAATAAGATCTACTACTAGACACGATATCCATGTATCATTATTTTAATTTATTGGCATTTTATGCTATTTATCAATATTCTATTTATTATAGTTTTCAAATTTGTATGTCTTCATTTGCATGTCTTGAGCAAATATTAACTCTAAATTCACTTAGCGTAAAATTCATGAATATAAAATTAATCGATTTTAGATTTAATCTATTCTTTATAATTATATAAAGAACTTATATTTATTTTTATAGGACTTTGAATTCATATAATATTAACCACCTTCTTTATCATATCCTGTACATTTAGCAAAAGTCCATTTTTGATTTCTAGCTGTTTGATCAATCCAATGTGTCAATCCAAGAGCTTTTGGATCAGAAATAGTATTACTCTGTATTGAATAAAAAATCAATAAATATTCTTTAATAACGAAGGAGAGAACATAAATAAAACATATTAATATTCACCTTTGCAGTCAAAACGTAATATGGTAGACCACTAGTAAAAGTCAAGAGATCGGGATTATAATACCAACGTTGACCTTTATCATTGATATCCTTTGGTTTGATTACAAGAGTTGGATCTAAAAAATAGTAATTAGAACAATCATTGCTAATTAATGAAATTGAACAAGAAATAAAATGCATTATAGTTACCATTAATCGGACCTTCATTTTTTAAAAATAAAAAAATTTAATTTTTCTAAGCAATAAAGTTCAAATTTTCAAATACAACTTGTAGTTACTTACAAGTGTTTAGTGATAATACATATCCGGTTTGTTTACTGACAAGGTATTCGCCATCAAGTTTCCACAACTGATTGTTAGGATGCTATATAATTTATAAGGTCAATATTTTAACTTAAATATAATAGAAAAGTATTTTAAATTTTACTTTTAAACTTACAAGTTGATTATTAAGAGTAAATAAGACTACTGCTGTTCCTGATGTTGTTCCAGCACAATAGACATCGAGCACGTATCCAGTTTCTGATATAATCCAAAACCAATCGCACATTTTTAATGATATTATTTATTTTATCAAAAAAAAAATTAATTGCAATAGTTAAAAAAATAGAAATTCTCAGTCTCCTTATATACATGTTTTTCTTCAATGGAATCCATTAAAATGAGGGTAAATCAATAAATATACACAGGCCGCTACGTAAAATTTTTGCCAAGAAACAGCGAAAATAAATGAATTTTTTTAAAGTTACATTACAATAATATCTGCGAAAAGTGATTATCTAAAACCAGCACATATTTTAACCCATTAATAAAGACACATTAAGTTCCAAGTATGAAATGATTTGATTTTTAAAGAATTAACCTGTAAAATGCTATCCCGTATATTTTGTTTGATACATGTACATGCATCAAGTTTCATTCGACAATGATACAGTAACACAAAATAGAAAAGTGAAAATACAGAACAAGCTTGTCTATTGATAAAAAATGTTAGGAAAATTTTTTACATACATGTTCATGCATAATCTAACCTAGTGAGGCCTGCATAATAATTTAAGAATAATACATGTAGTTAGTTAATTGTGTAAATACAGTACAATTACTGGATTGATTGTTCTTTGTTAGGAAACATTGAGTTTTTTTGCAATTTTATTTGTGGGAATTCTATGATTTTTTTTAATAAAATTTTCCAATCTTTTCTTTTTTGAGGTACATGTAATAATTTGACTGGTCTGCCGGAATGGGGTAATTTTTTCATTTTTTTTTCAATTTAGCAATATAACGGTATACAGTCATTTTCAGTATGCCCGTCATTTCAGCCAAACTTGCTGGTATATGGACACCATTTGTCCGTAATACTCGAAAAATACTCTGGTGGTGAGCAAGTGGTGGTTTCTCCATTTTGATATACTAGCTAGTGAAATTTTTAGGTTTAAATCAGAAAAAAATACAGTATCATGTTGTGTATCTATCCTCGAGAAACTATTTAATATATTAGGAGTATTGCAATAAAATTTTAAAAAATTTCAATTCGAAATTTCTATTAGAACTGTAACTCATTATTCAGTCCATTATTTGGAAGCATTTATTAAAAAAATACGTGTTGAATATTGAGAATTAACATGAAATATTCCGTCATAAAATGCATATATTTTGCATCCTTTGCTCTATCTCACCGAATATAGCAAATAAAGGAAGTAACGCTTTTGTTTAAGTGATTAAATGCAAGTATTGTAATTTCTATAAAAAGAGAATGAATTATACACTCAGAGCTTTTAAAATTGCGATTTCAGCAGCTTTATTTGGCCAAGTAGTAAAGCTCTCGATTTCTTAAGCACAAAAGAATTAAAGTTATCGATTTCATTATGGCACAAAAGAAATAAAAACCAAAGCGATGTTATATAAAAGTTAAAAATAATTATTTTATTTTATTTTATTGTTCTTTAAACGACACAAAGACTTGTCTCTCTGGCCTGCGAGAGCCTCTCTATATATACTCTAATCTCTAGCTATTCATCTATTTTACAGATTATCAGTCCTTACAAGAACTCACGGATCACTACATACAAAATATGAATTTTGTGGGAATTTTTACGAAAGTGCGTGGCTATGCTTCAAAATATAATTTTTTAAATGTCATTAATTATGTATGAAAAAGTAAAATAAAAATAAAATAATTATTCTGTTTGATTCAAAATTCGAGTTTTTGTAAGCATACCCTTGGATCAAGTGAATAATGTACGATACGAATATTTGTGTGGGTCTTTGCCGATAGTCACATTCTTAGAAATTCAAATAGGAATTTATATGAAATTCGTGTTTATTGGGGAAGGCAATTTTGATGTTAATATCACAAAGTAATAATTTATGTAAATTGAATGATACAGTAATATTTAATTTTTATTTTTAACACATTTTCTATTTTAGGAGGTATTTGTTTCAAAATTTTTGTAATCATGGGACTTCTCATCTTCGCAGTCACAGGAATTCATAAAACTGGTAAATACGGGATTATGTATTCTTAGCTATGGCAAATCGGAATGCCAGTTTTAAAACTAGTATGTTATTTCAAACTGGTTTTTCTACTAAAGCAAGCAGATATTTTTTCCATATAAATAATTTCTTATAAAAAATATAAATAGATAATGTATATGTCTTCCTTCTCTTTTATAAAAATAATTTAGTCAATTGAATTATTGAAATCAATTTACGCGGTGGTAAATGTATAGCATTACATGTCCTTACCGTTACTATTTACGTCCAATTAGGGTCAAAAAAAATACTCTAATAGAATCTTGGTTTCATTACAAACTACATGTAAAAGTTTTCCATTGCATTAGGGAGTAAAGCGAAGTGACATTATCTAATTGAGCATGGTTAAAGATCCATTTGATTGGCCAATATGTAACATGAATTTTAAATATATATAGATAGGAAAAGTGCCATCTTCGCTCATATACAAACTAGCTACGTCACAAATTAAGTATGTGTGAAACTTTACAGTTGCTTTAGTTGTAGTTTCTTCTTATTAAAAATTAATCAAGCATAATCAGATTCAATCAAGACTTTTTATAATAACGACCTTTTCAAAAAAGTACAGTTTAGCAGGTTTAGTGAAATTCTACTTCTATTATTTGAAGTCAAAGGCTTCGTTTGCTTTTTATATTTTTACATACGTACATACCTAAAAAAACAATTATACTTACTAAAAACTTATTGCAAAAAAATTTTTAGATCAGTTATTTCGAACATAAAACTTCGAGATTGAAAAACTTTATTAAAAAAAAGCTTTATTTTACCAACTATTCATTTCTCTAATTTTATTTTGCAAGTCCAATTCTAATAAACCTTGATCAATTTCCAGTTAATTATCATTCTCCTATCCAAATTTAGTCTTATATGTATTATTCAGTTTGTCAATTAATTATCTTGTCTCTTTATTTATCTCTGCATTTAAATATTTTAAAAATGAATTAATATTATGCCAGATATTATCTTGCTATTTCTCTATATCTATTAAAATTATATCTTTCATTTTTCTTTCTTCTTTTTACTTTATAATAGGATTATTATAGATATATATTATAAGTTAATTAATTCTATTAAATTCAAATAAGTTTAAATTAGACTATTAGACTTTCTATTACAAATATAACAGATCAAAATAATTTTGATACTGATTTATAAGTTCTTTGCAAGTAAATAAAATTTTAATATTATTTGAGTTATGACCATTAAATATAATTGATATTGAATCTGATTTTTTGATCTTTTTTATATAAACTTGTTACAAGATAAGCAGTTGCTGACAAGAAAGTGTTATTTAAATAATAATTTTCATGAATATTATAATAATTGTCTAGATTATAAATATAAAGATAATTTTTATTATCATTAAAATATTTTTTTATTTATATTGAATATTTATCAGCAATTTTTTTATAATTATATATCATTTTATAGATGGCTAAAATATCAATATATTTAATTTATTAATCATAATATATAGTTTCAGATTCTGCAAAATATAAGATAATTTCTAATTTAAAATTATTTAAATGCTTATTATATATTCAGCTATCAAATATAAAATTGTAACAACTTTATTTTATTTTTATTTATATTATAAGCTGAATGATTATATGATATTAATATATTATATATTTCAAACAAAAAAATCTTTTAGATCAAGATTTGCATTTTCAAGCATTTTTTAAAATTTATATAAATGAAGAACAAGATTATTTTATTTTTATTTATATAAAATTATTATCATTTTTTTAATATGATTACCAAGTAATTATTTAATTGATTTTTTAATATGATTATCAAGTAATTATTTAATTGATTTACTTGAAATAGTTATTTTTTTATGCTTAATATTTTCATTCAAACTAATATTTATATAATGAGAATGGCAACTTGCTATCCTATTTGTAAGTATAAATATTATTAAATAATTATTTAATATTAAACAAGATCTATTATTGATTTCTTATCTTGCATTTTATTTAAGAATTTAATTTCAAAAATTTAATTATACTTAATATATTAACACATTTAATATGCAAGTATTTATATTGGTTAAGATCTTGAAATACTACTAGAATAGCATTTAATATTGAGTTATCCTGGATCTGAAATTGATAATATCCACAGATTGAAATATCTGCATCTGCTTTTTCACATTCTTGATCACTTATATCATGTTGATATGATGCAATTTTTTAATACTAATATAATATTATAATACAGTTTATAGAATATATTAAAGAAATGTGTAATAATGATAAATACTTAAAATTTATAATTTATTTATAGTAGTAGTCAAAAGTATCTGACTCTCCATAACTTTTTAAATTGAGAATTAATTGCCTTGAAATTTCAGCATAGATAATATAAATCTAGATCCTATGAGTTTTTTTAATAATTTGTAATTATTATAACAAATTTAAATGAGAGCTGAGCTTTAAAATCAATTTTTTACATTAATAAAAAAATATTAATCAAATGCAATAAAAAATAATTATATTAATAATTTTGAGATTAAAATTTCTTAAAATTTAATATCATAAATTTTAAGTATTTTTATATTACTAACAAAAAATTTGACATAATTTAATAAGAAAGATATTGAGAAATTAAAATTAAAATTTATTAAATTTTATATGTATATAAAAAAATAATTTAATACGAAATTTAACATTTAATTTCAACAACTGTTTATTAAATTATATTAAATTTTTGTTATTATATATAATATAAATATATAAATTTTAATTTTAATTATTTTAATAAGTTTAAACCAAAAATTTTTAGTATAAAAAGTTATAAGGGATCAGCTACTTTGACCTCTACTGTACACAGTCAAAGTAGATTTAACGGACTCTCGATATAACGGACACTAAGTAAAATCTCAATATACCGGATTGAGGTTCAGAACGGGTTATAGTATTTTATCCGCTGTACCGAATTTCTTCGTTATAATGGATTTTTGAAATTTTTACTAATGGAACCGACTGGTCCGTTATATCGACTTTCACTGTGTATTTATAAACCAATTTTTTTGTAGCTTATTAGAAAAGATATTATTGACTCATTTAATTATACATATTTAATAATTATTTTTATAAAAATACAAACTGTAATAACAATATCGCAAGCAAATATTTGTCTTTATGTGAAGCATGACTATACTAATATTTTTTTTAATATAAAAAATTAACTGTATAATAAAAAATAGCTAGCCAATCAAAATCACGAAAAAAATAAATGATCATAGGCCAATCAGATGGATATTCAACCATTATCTAATTGCATAAAATATTTATATTGAATATTACGCAATCTAAATTTTTTGTTATTCATTATACAAATAAAGTTAAATATTTTTTACGTGCAAAAAAATATATGTGAATATACATGTATATAATGGACATTGATTTCTAACATAAATAGTAAATACATGTACTATTAATTGATTGATTAAAATTGTTTGATTGTATTGCATTTTTAAATTTTTAATTAGTTAGAAGAAATGAAATACTATCATATGAACTTAAAATTTTATATCTATTTCATTTTCTAAACACAGCGAAACTTAATACATGTATAATGGATATTCGATATAACGAACATGAGTTAAAACTTTAATATAACAGATTGATTGAAGTCCAAAAAAGCGTATATAAATCTAACTTGATACTATATATAATAGATTTATTAGTAAAATCTCAGAATAACAGTCAGATTCCCTTATATCGAGATTCACTGTGCACAACTCTACCAGAAAACACGTCCATATGGTACCTCAGCTTTACTTTTCATATTTCTATCCAAAACTATGATTTTATATCGTGTACTATTATTTAGAAATATCGATGACCAGAAATTTGGTTCATGTGACAATTGTTTATCTTCTAGAGTTTCTTTCGTTTATGATTGGAAAGTTTTTGTAAGTAATTCATTCGGAAAAAAGGTCTATCAAATTCTACTAAAAATTGTTGATGAAAACCAATTCATAATGACTCATGAAGCTATCTTCAAATAGTATTGTCACTTACTGAAAGATTTAAATCATTAGTATGTAAGAAATTTTTAGCCACAGTGATTCACTATTAGAGATAGAACACATAAAAAAAAGTGTACCTCTCCATTAAAGCATTGTACAGAATCAAAAAGTTACGCTTTATCAGTCAGATAATGCAAATTATATTTTCATCTATAACTTTCTTCTCAAGCTTTTTTTAGCGTTTCGCGCAATATTAAAATATCTGACTTTTTAAAGAAAACTTAGAAGCTGTTAAAAATGACATATTAAATTATGACTATCAATCTTTGTATCTGTCCCTTGCATTTATCACATCACAAACTCTCTCTGGCACCGAATTGATCTGCTTCTCAAAACGATTTATAGTTTTTCCACATATCAATTTACTTAAAAATGAGTCTTGAAGATTTATCGAATTCATATCATAAAATTTAAATTGAGTTTAAGTTGGGCGACTGATGAATCAATCAAACAAGGTAATGTCTATGTTTGGGATCATTATCTGTCTGAAAAGATAAATTTACTATCTTCCAGCATGTTTTATAAATTATGACTAAAAAATTATTATCCACTATATCAACATAGACAATTTTTCGGAGAACCCCTTTCTTTGGCAGGTATGGCAACCCAAATCATAATAGAGTTGCTCCAAAATTTACAGTTGGTAATCTTTTAATTGGACACACTTTTTCCAACATTTTCATCCGTCCGACTCAAATATTTGGAACGTGTTTGGGCAGACCAAATTGTATTTCATTAATCGTCAATCATCTAATTTCGGCGGTTTCTCGCCCGCCACTCAGCAATTTTTATGCATTATTTTGAGTAGAGGTTTTTTCTGCTTAATTTTTGCGAATAATCCTTTTCTTCTTAATGACGCCACGAAACAAGCATTGAAATTGGCAAGTAATCCCAACAACTAAGAGTTAGAGACATGCTGGAGAAAAAGTTTAATGCAGATTTTTTGACATCTACTTTAAATCTGGATGAAAGTTGGTGATGGTTTGGGATATTTTGTGGCGAATGGGAACAAAAAATATTTTTAGTATTTTATGATTAATATAATAAATGTAAATACATATCTTGAAAAAACTAATTTATTACAATTTTATCGTGCAATTATTGACAGCCAATTCATCCGACCTAAACTCAATTGGAAGCTTGTTAAGGACATTATCCAAAAAGTATAAAACTTTCCAGATTGGCTGAACTTAAAGTGCAGTGGGAAGATTTCGATATATATAGTTTATTAAATGCTGAGGAAAATTAATGCGGTATTGGACTAGAACAGAGGACCGACAAAATATCAACTAAATATTATATAATATTTAATAAACAGGTATAAATTGTTTTAAAGTAAATAATCAGAAATTTATGAAATTGGACAATACTTTTGAGGATACAATTCTTCAATGGCGAAAGAGTAACTATACATGGACAACGATAAAATGTAAATTACATTCAGGAATTCATTTAACGGTTCAGGAAAATACTGTAGAATGTTGTCTATATTACTATATCCCAGAAACTTTGCATATACTTATATACTGTATGTGAGCATTATACTTTAATACATTAAAATCTTAATTATGCTATGTATGTGCCTCTTAAACTAAATGTGATAAGGTATTAATTTGAAAGAGTGATTTTTTCTTTATTAACCAATTTTTTAATTAAGCTGTTCATAAAAAGTAATGAATAAATTTCCAAATACAGAATCCTAAATTTATGACTTGGTCCCCAGTCTGAGTCTTTTAAAGATCAAGAAATTTTAGCTTTTATATTTAGGTTTATAAATCATGAATTAAATGATTTCTCGGGACTGTTAAACCTTTTTGAATTATACCATTCCTGCCTCATATATCGTTTTAGAAAATTGAGCATGCATGTGATAATTGTGATCTTTCTGGTTTAGTTATTTAAAATTTAGCCAATTCCGATTTTTTGGTTTTAACAAAATGTCATATTTACAGTCAAACGCAAAAGCTTCTAACTTTCCATAGATCACGTGTAATGCACCAAATTTTTCTAAACACAAAGAACATTACAAATGTTGATCATGAAACCTTTTATAGATTGGTAGGTATTGTATGTTCATAAACTTTCACAGTAAATCAGTTACATTAGGATATAATATCTCGACGTCTAGTGATCCAATTTGAGTGAGAATAATACCATACAATTTTTGCATGAATCGGTCGATTTAGGACGCAATATCTTGACCGCCAGTGACCCGATTCGAACAAAAATAATACCATTCGATTTGTCTAGTCAAGACGAATCGAATGGTATTATTTTTGTTCGAATCGGGTCACTGGCGGTCAAGATATTACGTCCTAAATTGACCGATTCATTTTGGTTAGTGTCAAAAAAAATGAATCTGTTACTTTAAGATGCAATATTTCGACGTCCAGTGACCTGATTTGAACAAAAATAATACTGTTTAATTCGTCTCGACTGAAGAATCAAATGGTCCTATTTTTGTTCGAATCGGGTCACTGGACGCCAAAAATTAGATTATTTGATATTGAGATGTGTGTTATGAAATAACTGATTATATTTGGGACTTGAAAATTTATGAACATACAATACCCGATATAGAAGCTCTACCTACGAAAAGTTGGGGGGTCGGATACTTCTGCGGAGCACTGTAAATTACAAATTATATATATTATTAGCATTTGTTTATTTTACAAAAGCTGTTGTTGAGATATTATTATACATAAGAAAGTAGTGAAGTCGGTATTCTACTAATGGTTACCACTAAATTAGGGAAAGACCATTAAGTCATTGATCCAAGTTTCAAGTTTTCATAATTATATTAATCTATTAAATTATTATTACAATTAAAAATATGACGAAATATTAGTCTAAACTTTTACCTTAACATCCACATATATATATATATATAGTTTAAATTTACAATTCTAATAACATGATTTCTACAGTTTTACAATTTTATAAAGAAACTATTTTCAAGTATATAAAAGCTATTTTTTTCCAATTATTACATGTATATAATTTCTTATGCTGATTCTTAACATGATGCACAAGCCGATCCAAACAGATCTGCCCACCATGTTGGTTGTTTGGCTAGCAGGGTAAAAACGAACAAAAGAAAGCCCACAAAAAGGCCACAAAGTGAACACCAAACACCAAATATATGATCAGCAACCTTACTTTTTTCATCAAACAAGTGGTGTATGTATCCAAGGAAACTGTTGAACGACCATATGGAACAAATTACTGAGGCATATTTGCTCCGACAAAAAAATCCAACAGGCGGTGTATTATAAGCCATGACTACTGCCAACCAAGGGACTGTTATTGACGCTATAGCAGTGATGACAACGCGGATATGTATGGATTCTTTATCTTGAAAATGATCAAACTTCCTCACATATAATTTTTTATCGTTTCCTAACCTTTTCTTAGGATCTCTGACTAGTAGTCTTCCATGAGCGATTCTTCTATAGATTGCTGGCAATGTCCAAGCTAATAGTAATGGTATATATGGCCAATCCTCACAAACAACCGGTCCAAACACCCTTGCTATTGCGGCAATTACACCCACAGATATGTAGTACGCCGCCACTAACGACGAGAATCGCTCCAACACGGAGGCGTTTGCTACGCATTCATCCAATGCTTTTAGCGCTTCTTTATTCGCTTGGAGTGCTTGTTCGAATCTCCGTTCGAACTCGGGCATAACTAACAACATGGCATGATGTCCAACAGGCTTGTACGGGATTTCATTATCTGTTTCTACCCTTCTAAAATAATGTTTTGGGAGCCAGAATATAAATGTACTGTCGCTCGGAATGTTACATGTATAAAATAATCCTATAAATGGAGAACCAAGACATCGGGATAACCACATCAGTTTTTGAAAAAAATCCTCCATTGGTGCTGCTCCTATAGTTGCTATAGCTGGTAGGCTGCCTAAAACATATGGTGGCATCGGGCTTAATAAATTTTGAACTAAATCTAGCAATTCTTGGTTTACCAGCAGTACCATTTTGCTAGAAAGAAAATAAGAGAAAATTCTTATATCTGAGATTCAAAATGCGATACGTTATCATTATATAATACAAAAAACTCGTTATCTGTTGTACATGTATGCATCTTAGCTCAATAGCTCATACATATATATAGCAAATGATCGTCAATTTTTCTAACGCGCATTGGGTTATGCGAGCCTAGCCAGCCTACGTACTTCCATTTTTAATTTATGTATCGATATTGAGATATGCATTCTTTTTGATTCACTATTATAAAAGAAAGTCCATTTTTATCCTTATTGTGTGTCACAATCTGTCTAGCACGCAATTAACTCTTTGCATTCCATTTATGTTTTTAATAGATTTGGGTTTAATGCAAGAATTCATTAAAGCTTATGTTTTTTAATAGATTTGGGTTTAATGCAAGAATTCATTAAAGCTTTATGGTCAAAATTTATATGATGACGCTCTAATTTATACTTTAGAAAGACTCGAAAAAAACTGTCTTCTCACCACCAGAGATGACATTTTTACTAATTTCTAGAGAATTGGCTCGTTATCATTATCATTTGAAGGTACAAAATTTTTTTCTTGAGCTACCTCAGTACTTCTTATATGTCAAAGGACCGGTTTGGATGTGGTTTAATATTGATGTTTACGAAACTAATTCAAGAAATCATTGAATCCAAAAATGCATAACGATAACGATAAACACATATTGAATATCCAAATAGGAAAAATAATGAATTTTGGTTTGTTATTTGGTTCTAACCATTTAATACAAAAATTCAAATGTATACCTTCGGTTCTTAGATTTTAAATTACAAAGCGTAAACTTGTTATAACGGATATTTGATATAACGTGCATTAATTAAATGATATACATACGTAATACATCGATCGATATCGATATTTTACGCCCCCGATTTACTACATACAGGACAGGCGTTACCTCATAGGAGGAAGCTCGTCTGATTGGTCAATTGCCCGGGTATCTAATTTATATGTTTTAAAGTACTTTTTGAGAACGTAACGTTTCACTAACAAATAATTACTGCAAATCTCATTGTTAGCTTTAGGAAAACGTCTAATTTCACTATGCAAAAGAATCCCAAAACTAACCTACTTTACTTAGAGAGCAAAAATGCCGCTTACCGGACCATGTGCAATTACTAAATGCCTGGAACAAACGTCAAAGAGATGGAAAACGATAACAGAGCATGTTATTTCAAAGGGCAAAGCTAATAATACTTTACCACATTATCTTCAACTAGGTGATGTTATATGCTTAACTGCTACAACGGAATCGCCAGAAATTCATGTAGAAAATTTTGCAGAAACTATTTAAAATGTTTTATCTTTTTCTCAAGCTATAGGGATCATTACAAGTATACTTTATGAAAGAGAACGTCAAGAATTGCCACCAGTTTGGACTTTTGATGAACTTCGTGCAATTATGAAATCAGAGGATCATCGACTAAAAGATTTTTTTTGATGAATTATACTTATCAACTAATCCATCGTCGAAGAATAAAGATATGATGCGAAAAATATCAAAACAACTAGTGTTTTTGTGTTATTTTCTTTGTGATATTAGGAATAAATTCGTTAACAATGCAAAGAGATCTTGGGATGTATTTACCGGAACTCCAAATTCGACGATGACATCTCGTACAATTACTTATCATAAGGATGCTGTGTCTGAAAAGCATTTGATAACTATAGATTCAAGACTTCAGGAGAATGCTAATAATGCATTTATTTTAAATATAAATGGTTATCATAGCATTCATACCAAAAAAAATGCCAAACACAACTAAAACGTCGGATGCACAACATCTTGCTACCGTTTTACTTAATCCGATCAAGAATATGCCGGCAATATTAAAACAAGTTATTCATAACCTTGTATTAGTCGATGCGTCATTAAATTAAATTAATATTGAAAATTATTTTATTCCAGGATTTTCACTTCCTCACAATCAGCGTTGGGGATTCCGCTTTGTTGATGATAAAACTAAGATTGAAGAATCAACTGTTCACAGTTATGATATCTGTTTAGCTGAAAAGAGAGATGCTAGATCAATAAAAGATGTGGTTCTTGCGGATTTAATTAAAACGATCTTCATTCAGTAGGATCTTACGTTAGTTTGGTTTCTTATATTCCCACAATGAATAGGTACAGCCACGAAGGCAACATTATTCCAATTGTCGCTGACTGGCCGGGACAAATATTTTTGAGAATTGCTATAACACAATATATTATACGTGGTAGTTCTTCTGGACTTAATGATCATTTCTTCCAATGATGAATCCTTTACACGTCTCATTAAACGGCAGAGAATTGGTTTTTCTCCAATATCAACCATTCTTTACTGCTATGTATACATGTAAATATGTCTTCGGTGAAAAAAAGCCACTTGCTCAAAAGCCAAAACCGTGGTGTATAAACTTGCTATAGAACTTTCACGTAGTGCGTGGCAAGAAATTGCAGCGATAGTTGAATTCAAATTCGGTCATGCCTGCAATGATTGATGTAGAGTATATTGTGTTGAAGGATCTATTAGACAATACAATTCCATTGGTTCTTGACATTTATGCACTATTCTTCATGCAGGTGATTTTAATTCATATGTTGAATCGTGTTTTCGGGTTTGTACTATTTTTTTTAAAACTTCAACGTAAAAATTATACTAAAGCGCCTTTAATGTTTTATCAGATATTTATGACTGAGAATTGAAGGACCATAGACAATGAAGGCAGAATTATCTAAGTTTTCAGATACATCCGTTGAAATTTTTCACTGCCTTTTGTGACACAATACAGAAAAGCATTTTTCAGCAAAGCAAATCATAAAGGAGGAGGCACGGTATATTAATTATATCCGATCAGATCAAAGAAAATTGTGTTCATAATTTGATCTGGACAGTATACCAATATTCTTCACGAGATATTAAAGTTTTGACACAAAAAACAGCATGTTTCTTTCTAGTTGTTTTTCAACCATTTATACTCGTATTAATTATGAAAGAACTATGCTTTCAATTTCATTGCAGGCTACTGATACAGAGAAAAGAAAAAAATAAGAAAGGATCAATATCGAAAATAATTTTTCCATTCTGGCGCAGAATATGACGAATGCCTATCTTAATCATTTGTCGTTGGGATATACTGTAGTTCTTTTCATAAACCTAGCCCATTCGGTTGTGATTCTTTAATTTCCCAAATACTAACATTATAATAAGTGAAGAAACAGGTCTGGTATTACCGTGCGGCTATGCATATCATTATATATGTTTTAACAGAGCTGTGTTTAAATGTTTGCATTGCCTGGACTATATAAAGTCTGGCATTGATAAGCATGTTCGATCACTTTTGGAAAGTCTAAGTCAACCTGGCTTGTATATTATTAATGATGACGAAGAACATCCCTTTATTCCTAAAGATGATACCAAAGAATCTGCAAATAATATTTTGGCATCTTGGGATGCTACAATAGCATTTTCTTCAACAGTAATTAAAGATCTTGGGATAGTGGATAATTTAACATAAAGATATGTGTTTAATTGAATTTTATCAATCTCAAAAAAAGTATCAATTTTGATCATCCATTTATTATAATAATATTTTGAAATCCGGAATGTAATTAAAAATAAATAAATAAAATTATTTTATTGTAAATATGAAATATAGCAAATATCGCAATCTAATATACAGTGTAAATATGAAATAATATGACAAATTATTAGAGATATTATCCTACTATCATTATTTAAAATTTAATGGATATCCGGATACAGTATTTTGAATAATTTTATTATAAATGGATATTATATCATAGTAAATGTACTTTAAAAATTGGCCAATCGGGTGAATTCGATCACCTACAGGATTGATGCAAATCTGACCAATCAGTCGAACTTCTTCCTATGAGCATTGCACATTAACGTTAATTTTTAGGAGAATATTATATACATATATATCACATTAAATCAAGCTCTGATTGTATTATATGCAGTGCAAATGTAATACAATCTCACATTTGGTCGTGTACATGAAGCTTATTCGATTAAATGATACAAATGACAGAGCGCTTTTACTATTTGTTAATTACATGTGTATTTCTATTTAGCATTATAAAATAATAAATTTAAAGTTTATTAATGTAAAATTAACGTAATAACACTATATTGAATTAATTTTTGTTTGTTTGCTTTAGTATACTACAGTAGTAACAAAATATTCATCGATTCCATAATCTTGTTAGATTATGTTATTTTTAATTTTCAATCGAGAACTGTACTAACATATTATAATTGAATTACCATAAGAAGATACAGTCGCATTTAATTATTTAGTTATTCATATTAATATTTATTCATTTAATTATTCATTTATTTATTTATTATTCTGCATATATGTATTTTGTATTTTTATATATTTCACACAATCCTATGAATTTAGTTATATGATAAATTAAAGGAATCATTTTCATTATGTAAATTCTTTTTGAGAATTTATTTAATAGTACTTTCACTAAAAACGTTATTAATATGCTCAAAATTCTCATTATAAATATAAAAATGCAGAGTTATCCTCTTAATGAACTCTAGAATTCTACAAAAATAAAGTAATTACATATTTTTTCTTGATTTTTTATTTCTTGTACAGTCAAATTATTCAATTATAATTTAGAAAGAATATATAATTACTTTTATTATTTTTGTTTTGAAAATAATATTCTTATAATTATAATGCATACTATTCAAAATTTATATTTTATAAATTAAATAAACTTCTTGATCAAGAAGTAAAATTCATAGTTTATTCTATTGAAATTATTAAGAAAGATCTATTTTAATAGATTAAATTTTGAATTTATTCTTAATTAAGAAGTTTTTATTTAATTTATAAAATATAAATGCTTGATAACTTTAAATAATATGTATTATATAAAATTAAAAGATTAATTTTGTTAATAAATAAAACTTAGAACTTTTTCTTTAAAGTTTATAAT